ATAGAAAAGACTGACTATATATTAAGAAAAACTCCTTTTTTTTTTCTTTTACTTTCTATTTGTTAAACTCCTTTTTCTTTTTTTCTAACTTTATTTTTTCTCATTTTTTTAGTGAAAAATAATGAACAGGAATTTTTAGAATCATCTTTAATTAAAATATTTTTTATTAAATATGCCTTTGCAAATAAAATTTTATTAAATAAGATTATTTTAAGGCTATATAAATAAATTGTTAGTTTCTCATCAGTAGCTGGATCATATAAATGCTGTCTCTTATACACATCTAGATGTGTATAAGAGACAGATATAGTAGAATGTGACTATAACGGGAGTGACTATAGAGGGAGTTGACTGTATTTCCTTTTTTAGATTTTATTTATATATAGTAAGATCTTCAAAAAATTCTCAATTATAAATTTTATTTTAAGTTTTCAATAATCTATCTTGTAAGTAACTAAAGTAGGATCCTCCGATGATGCCTTTTAAAAACATTAAGTAAGTAAACTTATTTTAAGATTAAAACTTGAGAAATAGAACCTCCATTTTTTAACATGTTTTTTAAAAAAAGGAAGTAAAGAATTGACTTTTTCAAAGAAATATCTGCTATTGCAAATGCTTCTATAAAATCTTCAATAACTTATTTTTTTAACTCAGCTGTCACTTGAGTAGAAGCAAAAGTAAGTTGTTGTGTTTAATTTTGCTCTTCATGACTTTTCATATTTGATATATATTTTTAACTATTACAATAATTATCTATAGTAGATTTTTATCTCTATTTTACAGAAATATTAAAAAAATACTTTATTATTAATATGGAAAATATCCTTATATTTACTACATTTAGTATAAACTAATACATTTTTGTAATTTTTTTTTCTTTTCAGCATTGTAAAGTATGAAAAAAAAAAATAGATTGGATTTAATAGATTTGATAATCATAAATTTTTCTTTAACTATAGATTATGCGTTAAATCATAAAACAAATTCAAATTATGTGATATTATATTGTGTAAAATTCAAATTATGTATTTGTCACATAATTATTCATTTTATATAATATTATACGATTATATAAAATCATCGTTCCTGATTCAGTTCAGGTTAGATTTATAATTCAAGACCAGATCAGATTAGACCAAACTGAATATTTCGGTCTGAGTTGAAGTATCAACTCAAACTGAACCAATCCTAATTTTCAATCCAGATTGCCAGATTAGAATCAAACTGATTAGAACTTTAAATAAAATTTAATGTAATAAAATTTTTTTATATAATTAAATATATACTACATTAAGGATTTGTTATATCATAAAATTCATTATATCAAAATTCACTATAGAAAAGACTGACTATATATTAAGAAAAACTCCTTTTTTTTTTCTTTTACTTTCTATTTGTTAAACTCCTTTTTCTTTTTTTCTAACTTTATTTTTTCTCATTTTTTTAGTGAAAAATAATGAACAGGAATTTTTAGAATCATCTTTAATTAAAATATTTTTTATTAAATATGCCTTTGCAAATAAAATTTTATTAAATAAGATTATTTTAAGGCTATATAAATAAATTGTTAGTTTCTCATCAGTAGCTGGATCATATAAATGTCATGAAAAATAGTGTTTCAGGCAAAACTGAAACGTAATATCTAGCGAAACTTCTGAAATTTGGTGAGACTGATTTCATCAAATGTGCAAAATTCCAAAACTGGTAAAACTTTAAAACCTAAAAAATCACGTGTTAAACATTAAACTTTTAATTGGCTATAGTAAGGTATAATCATATGATTCCAAGATCTCATTTTTCATTAAATTATTTTAGATGTAAGGTAGAATTTTGTACAAGTCCTTATTTTTAACACTACCAAATATTAATTTCCATTTAAAAAATTTTGTCGTAATCTAATTAGTTAAAATATGATTGGATATTATAAATATGGTAAAAATATATATCATATGGGCTGATTTATAAAATTAAGTTTTTATATTCAAAAAACTAACTTTATTAAGCAAATAATGCAAATACAAGTTACATGAAAATGATAAATTCATACCAGCTGACATAAATAAAATTGATTTAATTATATTATTTTTTGATTTTTTTTAATAATATCATTAAAATTAAAAAATTTTGGGCCCGTGATCACCAGACATTGAAGATAGGGCCTTTATGGCTAAGATTAAAGC